TACATATAAGATTTACAGGGGCGGTGGGGTAGCCTAGTGGTTAAAGTGTTCGCTCGTCACGCTGATGACCTGGGTTCGATTCCCCACATGGGTACAATGTGGGAAGCCCATTTCTGGTGTCCCCCGCCGTGATTGCAAAAAGAGGCGTAAAACCATATTCACTATAAGATCTACCCTTATGTGTCCTCATCATCTCAATACGTGAAGACAAAACTGTCTGGGAGGACGTAAGCATTTGATGATGGCATAATGTCTGCTGTTGTTGTCTTTTCACACCAACGGGCGGAAGGCTTCTCTATTCTCCTTCAGGCAGGCTATCATCGTCAATAGAAGTACGTTAACTTCAGAGACTCAATCATAACATCGTTAGAATTTCAGCTCGTACAAGGATGAGCAGCCTGGGTGCAGCTCAAGCTCCTGGTATCCCACCTGCCAGTCTACCATGGGTTCTTCAGGTAGCAAACATAAAATTCACTCTTTCGGCATCAGGACACCAAAAACTGTCAGATCAGATGGAAGGTGATTTCATCTTGCCGTAACTTATCCACTGACAATATTTAGCGTACATATATTGCGCACGCCACAGTCCTCCATCGTCTACGAACACACTTTGGTATTGTGCCTAATGAAAGTCAGCTCATCTTCTGTCACCTGACATTGGAGGGAATGAGTGAGTTTAGTTTTACGCCGCTTTTAGCAATATTCCAGCCATAACATGACAGGGGACACCAGAAATGGGCTTCACACTGTACCCATGTGGGGAATCGAACCCGGGTCTTCGGCGTGACGAGCGAACGCTCTAACCACTAGGCTACCCCAACGCCCCACCTGACATTTGGTCAATATGTAGAGCACGATGTCAAAGGAAGAACAATGCATCTCTTCAATAAGCCATCATTGGTTTATATACTCTTGCTGAAATCCGTCTGTCACTTGTGTTTTTGGTTATTAACAGCGATAAACGAAGTTTTGTGGAACAAGATGGGGCCAGACAAAAGTGTCGTTATGTCACGTTTAGTCCATAAGGTTTTTAATGCAGACTCTGGGTGACAAAGTTCGATGTTTAAAGCATTATTTCCTTTCAGTAAATTATAATAGTTGTAATAAATAAGCAGAACTTTGATTTTGCAACTCCTAAAGAAACAGCCCCGATGCTGGATTCACTGGTATGATACATAACGACTTGTAAAATGACACTAACTTGACAAAATAACCCAATATTGTTTTGAAGGCTCAAGCTCGTGTGGGCCATTAAGGTATTATTGTTGATTACTGAAAGCGGATATCGTTATAATCAACTCCTGAAGCACAAGATCCTTGATCTGAAGTATTTCAGCTTTCTATTATTGCGAGGTGTAATTTGACCTTGTTAACATAAGTTCCATGATTTTGGCCAAGTTGATGAGATGAGATTATTTTGTGTATTATGTCAAAAGGATTACTGGTATAGTTTGAACGCATCACGTAAACTGTATGTTAGCTGCTTAACTGCATCATTGTTTTGGATATCTGTGTACTGATGTGTATTTACATGTCTACATAAAATGTTTCGCTGTCTTCATAGCTACACAAAATACTTCTGATATTTAAAGCTTTGGATTTGGAGATAGTGTAAGTGATACTTCAGTACCATCCTCGATAATCTCCAGGGTATACGTTACGATAACTCTCCACTATAGTGGACGTATACCCTGGAGATTATCGAGAATCTCAATACATGACAAAGGCAACTTAAGTAGAAACTTCGAAACCTTCCAAGCAAAATAGCTGCTGGGAAGATACCAGCAGTGTGTTGTACCACCTCAGAGATCTTTCTGTCGATGAACCACTGGTGTACCACTATTTCGACTCGCATAAACCATGTGAGTATAAACTTGCATATTTGCACCACAAGTGCATTACGAACTTTACCCTGCTGTAGCTTGTGTAGTGTTTGTAGTTGATACTGATCTGAAATGTGTTTTTCAACCATTACAACGGTAATATCATAAGTGAGGTGAGGTGAAATTGGGTTTTACGTCGTACTTGAGAATATTTCGCTCATATGACGACGTGCATGCGTGTGTATGTGTATGTGCGGATGCTTGTACTAGCCCAGACTGAAGCTGGTTTTATAGTGCTAGCCCACTGAGATACCATGCCGCAGTGAAGCATGAATATCCCACTCTGACACATTATACTGACTCCGAGCCGACCAGTCCTTGTTCTACCCATTAATGCCGAGCGCCAGGCAGGGACCAACAAGTACGATATTTTAACGTCTTTTGGTATGACGCGGTCGGGGATCGAACCCGCGACCTTCCGCTCTCCGGGCGGACGCTCTAACCACTACACCATGGAGGCGGTCAATATCATAAGTTGAGAAACGTTTGGACTTTTCCCTTTACTTTTGTCCCATTTGGTTTTATGTGTTTGGGACATTTTACAATCTGTAGCGTCGGAAGCACGAGATTTTCAAATGTTTAGAATTCGCTTTTTTATTTAATTGTTTCTAAGAAAAGTTGTCTATTTGATATTTAACATAGTTATCTTGTTAGTTTGTCGGATTGAGAAATGTAGTGTCCAAAGCCCTAAATACAGGGCAAGTTGTTATCTTTGCAAGTACTGTTTCAAGGATTTGTCATGCTTCCAGTGGGAAGTTTTGAAAGCATTTGGTTGAAGTTACTAGTCACGGTTTACCAGATATTTTTATAAGAGAAGTTGCTACTTTCAGTATGCTAACCTAATCTGCCTTCTCACACAGAAAACGTGAGTGAGTGAGTGAGTATGGTCTAACGCCGCTTTTAGCAATATTCCAGCAATATCACGGCGGGGGAACACGAGAAATGGGCTTCACACATTGTACCCAAGTGGGGAATCGAACCTGGGTCTTCGGCGTGACAAACAAACGCTTTAACCACTAGGCTACCCCACCGCCGAAACGGAGAAAAAGACTTTGCAATGTTGTGTCCAATTATCTCCTGCGTTAAATATCATTTTGTAATGTCCATAGCCCATGGAATGTAGACTTGTTTGTTATGAGTTTTAGTCAAAACTGGATGAAAATAAGAAAAATACTTTTAGGCATAAACATGCTAATGTAGACTTTATTTTCTTACACCAGTACTTTCAACAAATGAGCAACACAAATGTGACCCCTGATTGTGACCAAGCTGTAGGCCACTGAGTGAGTGGGTGAGTGAGTGAGAGAGTGGGCGAGTGAGTGAGTGAGTGAGTGAGTGAGTGAGTGAGTGGGCGAGTTGGGTTTCACGCTGCTTTTAGTAACATTCCAGCAATATCACAGCGGGGGACACCAGAAATGGGCTTCACACATTGTGCCCATGTGGGGAATCGAACCCGGGTCTTCGTGACGAGCGAATGCCCTAACCACCAGGCTACCCCACCCCACAAGGTCACTATGACAAGGGGCGGAGAGACTGCAGATTCAAGATTCAGTGTACACTGAGAACACAGGGACGAGCTACATGGAATCATGATGTTTATTCACTTGATGAGCTGGAGGCCACTATGACAAGGGGTGGAGTGCTGCAGATTCAAGATTCAGTGTACATTGAGAACAGAGGGACGAGCTACATGGAATTATGATGTTTATTCACTTGATGAGCTGGAGGCCACTATGACAAGGGGTGGAGTGCTGCAGATTCAAGATTCAGTGTACATTGAGAACAGAGGGACGAGCTACATGGAATCATGATGTTTATTCACTTGATGAGCTGGAGGCCACTATGACAAGGGGTGGAGTGACTGCAGATTCAAGATTCAGTGTACATTGAGAACAGAGGGACGAGCTACATCTAATCATGATGTTTATTCACTTGATGAGCTGGAGGCCACTATGACAAGGGGTGGAGTGACTGCAGATTCAAGATTCAGTGTACATTGAGAACAGAGGGACGAGCTACATCTAATCATGATGTTTATTCACTTGATGAGCTGGAGGCCACTATGACAAGGGGCTGGAGTGACTGCAGATTCAAGATTCAGTGTACATTGAGAACAGAGGGACGAGCTACATGGAATCATGATGTTTATTCACTTGATGAGCTGGAGGCCACTATGACAAGGGGTGGAGTGACTGCAGATTCAAGATTCAGTGTACATTGAGAACACAGGGACGAGCTACATGGAATCATGATGTTTATTCACTTGATGAGCTGGAGGCCACTATGACAAGGGGCGGAGTGACTGCAGATTCAAGATTCAGTGTACACTGAGAACACAGGGACGAGCTACATGGAATCATGATGTTTATTCACTTGATGAGCTGGAGGCCATTATAACAAGGGGTGGAGTGACTGCAGACTCAAGATTCAGTGTACATTGAGAACAGAGGGACCTGCTACATGGAATCATGATGTTTATTCACTTGATGAGCTGGAGGCCATTATGACAAGGGGCGGAGTGACTGCAGATTCAAGATTCAGTGTACATTGAGAACAGAGGGACCTGCTACATGGAATCATGATGTTTATTCACTTGATGAGCTGGAGGCCACTATGACAAGGGGCGGAGTGACTGCAGATTCAAGATTCAGTGTACATTGAGAACAGAGGGACGAGCTACATGGAATCATGATGTTTATTCACTTGATGAGCTGGAGGCCATTATGACAAGGGGCGGAGTGACTGCAGATTCAAGATTCAGTGTACATTGAGAACAGAGGGACCTGCTACATGGAATCATGATGTTTATTCACTTGATGAGCTGGAGGCCACTATGACAAGGGGCGGAGTGACTGCAGATTCAAGATTCAGTGTACATTGAGAACAGAGGGACCTGCTACATGGAATCATGATGTTTATTCACTTGATGAGCTGGAGGCCATTATGACAAGGGGCGGAGTGACTGCAGATTCAAGATTCAGTGTACATTGAGAACAGAGGGACCTGCTACATGGAATCATGATGTTTATTCACTTGATGAGCTGGAGGCCACTATGACAAGGGGCGGAGTGACTGCAGATTCAAGATTCAGTGTACATTGAGAACAGAGGGACGAGCTACATGGAATCATGATGTTTATTCACTTGATGAGCTGGAGGCCACTACAGAAAAGCAGTAAGATGAGAAATGACAAACAATGATTTCAGTCAAGGAACATTATCTTGAATAATATAATTTCATCCTTCTTAAAATATTTCATCATGCTATTTTCCTCCACAATCAGTTGATTTGCAGAGAACCAGCTACACAGAAAAGAAGGAGGTTCCAGCAACGTGTAGCCAGGAAAACCACAGACAACAACAGAAGAAAAAACATAATCTTCAACAGCAAGTATAGCAAATTAGTATCAAAAGATAGTGGTTCTTGAAGTTAATAAAAAATAAAATGTTCCTAAAATATTTCTCAAAACATGATATTGGATCCTCTTGACAATACAGACATTTACCAATTCTGAGTTCATGTCACTTAAAAATTGTGACTATGGATAGCTAGTAACACAGTCAGTAACAAGTGACCTGTACGCATATCCATATATAGAAACACTATGAAAACGCTATTCTGATTAAAGACATTTTAAAGAAATAATTTTATTGTATCATTTTCTATGACAAGATTGCATTTAGATGTAATAAATTTCATACAAATTGTGCAGTATTTTTAAATGAATGCCATGATGTAAAACAAATAACTAGCAATTTTGTTTCACTTTGAATTCATAAACAACTGCCGGTATAAGTTATTAAACATGTATGTAAACGTGTACGCAGTTTCAAGCTTTCTCTCTCTCTTATAACAGACACTATATCAAAAAACACTTCTTAGATATTTAAAAAACCATGAAAACTGCATCTTCAAAGTGTCAGAGTATATACTGAAGAACAGCAGCGGTACACATCTACTGAAGGAAATCTTCTCTCTCTCTAAAAAAGCCAAAATTGGTTCTGTTGAACACTTTTACTTATGCCCCTGTTTCCAGCAGGATGTTAACTATGTAAAATATGATTCAAAACAATACATCATTGTCCCTGCACCTTAGGTCTGTGGCAAGAACCCCTCATACTAACCTTGCCATGCTGTTAACCATGTAATCCAGCCCTTCACATTATAACAAAGCCTCCTAAGAGAGGATGAGGCTACACAAGACAGTATTACACCATCAGGACTGCTTCAAATTAATGTTAATGAATTTACAATGTCTATTTCAAATATACCATAATTCAACTACAGTGTAAGTATTTCATAGCGCTACTGCCAATTTGTATGAGAAGAATGACATGAGAAAAGGCCTGGCATTGACTGTTAAATTCTTACATCAAGAAGTGTTTATTCGCAATTTGTCAAAGAACACTTCATTAAAGGAACCAGTGTGGGACATAGATGAATCAATTGCAAAGAAGAAGTGAATAAAATCTATTTCTAAAAGCAAAGTAGACCAGGGTGCCGTTGTACAAAGCGATCTTAGCTCTAAGGTGACCTCAACTCCCATACTTTAACATAGACTTAAGGTAGCCTTAGCGCTAAGGTTGTTTTGTACAACGGCACCCAGGCATTCTTCCCAAACCAATGATAAACACCAGTGACGTTACACAGTACCATGTACACACAGGATATATAGGGCTATGTACATCGGCATCATGCTACACAGACACAACATTTGTGTTTACAACTCGACTGAGGTAAACACGGACAGCATGGACAGGGCTGTTCATTCCTATCCCATTATCCTCCTAGTTACATACCCTTGTACAGAACACCTCAGTAGTGATAGTGTTACAATATAAGCTGTGATATTGTGCCCAACTATTTTTATTACTGACAATGAAACTCAGATTTACAGTCTGTTTCTAGCAGATTTCTAACAACACATGTGAAGAAATCATTTAAAGGAAAACAAAAATTTAAAAAACCTTTCCAATTTGGAATGGCAGAAAAAAAACCAGTTAATTCTTGAAAGCCATCATCAGTTAATTCTTGAAAGTCTATTGTCAGTTTTCTCTCATCAAATCTATGAATGACCCTTTTATTTGAATTAAAATATATATTGCGGAATAGAATTTGGTTGCAATACACAGATACTGGTTTAAGTCTGAAATCATTTTGAGACATTTGTAAACCAACTTTGATGTACTTAACATCAACAGATGCAATGTATATGACATGATAAATATAATAGTAGAAATGTTCAGAAGTCGCTCTTTCTATACTGCAACAACTGTAATAACTTGATGCTACTATGACATCTTGAAGCAAGTTATACCTCATCTTCTCTCAACACAAAAAAACACACCAGTTGGGACAGTGGAAAAACAGACACTCTGGGGAAAGGTTCACATCAAATATCAAATATTTTTGGGAGTATATATACTATATAGAAATATAATAGTCATGTGTCAACTGAAAAGATGACTGTACACCAAAATATGTTCAGAGAATTTTCACAATTAAAATCCAACTGAACAAAATTATTTTCAAGAACTTGGTCACATAACATAGCCTTGTTTAAACAACAAGATATCTGCATGAGCTGACCCTTCTTGTTCCCGAAGGTGGAGAGTCTGTGACGTAGTTGGAGTAGATGTGGGCTTGTGTTGGGTACCAGCTGAAGGTGACTGGGTCAGTCAGCTGGGTCAATCTACACACTACAAATGCGACAGCTTCCCATGTGTAGGATGTGTGCTTATTGATAGCCCTGCCCAAAACAAGGTTGTAACATCGTAATTTCTCTAATTTACATATCCGATTGTTTCAATAAATGACAGTGTTAGGATGAAAGGTGATATGACCGCAGACATGAAATAGACGGCCAAGTCTGGCTGATGGATGTTGAGGCAAAGTGGCCTGGTCAGTGACAGATGGAATGTGACACAGCCATTTGGGAGCAGACACCATATCTGTGAAACTGACAACCTACACTTTGAAACAGCCAGGACCTCTTAGTCACACAGAAGCGAAATGGCACATATTTGAAATAAATTACACTGGCGTCCCACAACCACGACATGTACATAACCATTTCAGTAAGTATGTAATTAACAACACTGTCATCTGAAAGCAGGTGATGAAGCCAGAGTCAATCAGCCTATACAATTTGAAGGTCAGGATGATATTCTACAATGACATGCTCCATTCCTACAACACTTAGACTTTAATGGACCATCAACATTCAACATGACATTATGATTGACAGGCACACTGTTACAATGTAATATATCATAACAATGAAATGTACAACATTTGTCTCCTCTCAATGAAATAGTAGTTACAATTGACGTAAGTCACCATAACATCAGTTTTTATCCATGCACATCATGCACTCAGTTCCATCATACTAAAGATTTAGTACAACACGAAGAATATTATCTGACGAATAAATGCAAAGGAGTATAAACACCAGAGTCTTGACATTCGCCATTATCGGAACTACACGTTGAAGGTGACAATTACTAATGTTGACCTTGACCTTAGTTGTCAGGGTTGTTTGGATCTTCCTCATCGTGTCGGAGCCGATATTCCTGTAGAGTTTTGTGGATGGTCTCGGAGGAGTATTTGCATTTTGGCGACTGACAGGCGCATGTGAACTGTTTCCATTTGATAATCCAGAACTTTTCACCATAGTCAAATCTGAAAGTAAACAGAGCTATCGTTAATGCTTGTTGTATGGCTGGAATACAGCTGATGTAGCTATGTTAAATTGTAATTAAACTATCATTAATACTTAAAAATCACTTTTTAATTACATCTTCTAAAATAGCTATAAAACTGAAATGACAGTGATTTGAGGTGTTTCTAATGAGTCAATAAAACCTGATAAAGGTATGAGTTTTTGTTCCTCAGTGCGAGATGTAGAAATGCTATTATATTGAGTGTGCTTAACGGTGGGCATGTTGCTGAATAAGATAGTAACCACATCATTTGCTTGATAACCAAGTTGGGATCTACACCGAAACGTCGCAACTACTGCAACAAAGAAGTTGTCTATCCATAAAAAGTGTTCCACTTCATGATAGTAACCAATTGGGTTGGCTTCCCAACCTGATGTTTGATGCAGAATGAACCTCCTTGTTTATATATGACCGTCATAAGATCAATATATCAAGTAAATCTAAGCCATGATCTTCAGAAATGACCTTCTTGACAAATGTTCATTTGGCCGACTACTTAAGGTTATTTGTCCATGACCTTCACCTTTGACATTTCTGACTGATCATTTGGGTCAATATTGGAAGGTAGTTTGTGTGAATCCATCATTACATAGACAATTTATCATCCAGTTTCAATATATTTTAGTCTGATCTCTGACATATTCAATATTGACAGATTGGAAAGTTATTTAACTTGACTTAGATTACAGGGGGATGATCTAAACACCATATTTCATAAATAGTTAATCAATAGTAGTTTCAGTTGTCAGTGCTTATGTTATTGTTAGTACTGCATTTGACTATTACATGAAGGCTGAAGACAGCGGTAAAAATTCCCGCCTGCCCGCCCGACCGTCCGGAACTGTCTATTTTCATCTCGGACAGTCAAATTTTAAAAGTAGTCTGTCCGGTGGTCTGTTAGATATTTCTCTGATCTTGATTGTGAGGCAGAAAATGCAAAAGATTTCTAATTTCTAAACCAGGTCATGTAGCTTAGCTGTAACGTTACAATACATGCCGTAAAGTATTCAGAAACTTGATTTTATTTTGTTTTTTTATTGTTGAAAACCGCACAGGCAAGTTTGTATCCGGACTTGTAATTTTTTAAAGATACCAGTCCGGCTGTCTGGCTTGGAATTTAGGGAGTTTTAAACACTGTTGAAGATGCAGGTTGTGTCCCCCTGAGTGCATCACCCATAGCCACTGATACACTCTCATTTCCTTCTCATAATAACCAGCCTTACAACACTCAAGATTGAGACAAATGATTTTCTAAATGTGGAGCCATCTTCCTAAAATACTTCACAACAATTTGCCTATCTAAAGTAGTTACAAACAAGGTCAAACATTCCATTTGCATTTACCAAAAATACTTCCTTTAAACACATGCCCCTTGGCCCATTACAGGACATGAGGACAGGCCAAGTCCCGTGTACAGTGTTATGGGGCATGGCCAATAACGGACATGCTATTATACACGTAATTTGATAAGTCACTGTCAATTAGTTTTCCTTCATTTTTGGGCACATGGTAATTGCTGCAGTCATTCAAACTTGCTGCTGGCTAGTTTGGCTATTATGCTCTAGTAATGTGTATTTCTCAACCTATTATGTGTTAAGGACTGTCAATTGTTGCCTATAAGGTATAGAGGGAGCAGAGAAGTGTAGAGATGGCTGGGAGGATGAGTAAGGGTAGTGAGAGTCAGAATGCCGGCGTGTCATGGTAGGGAGAGTCGGAATGCTGGTGTGTCATGGTAGGGAGAGTCGGAATGCTGCTGTGTCAGGGGAGAGAGAGAGAGAGAGAGAGAGTTGGAGAGAGAGAGAGATGGGGGGTCAGGTACAGGAGAATTTGATACCGAAATGAACCCAAAAAAAACATACACAGACAAAAATGACGACTGATTGATAAACATTCGTGGCAAAGGAATATATGCCGATGTGAATTTTATATTCACAATTTTAAACGCACACAAAAGCAGTTGCCAGTCAATGGAGACTAGCATCAAAACCCAAGTTTATAAGATGTGTTCAAACACTGGTTCTCTGAGAATGGGAAGACACAGGCATCAGGGATATGGGTTTTTTTTTCCCTCCTTTGAATGAAGGGTGCCTTGTATGATCTAGAATATGCATGAATGTTGTCAAACGTTTTCATTTAAGATACAGGTAAGCGAAAAGGGAATCCCCTCGACTAGAAATGGAATTCCCTGACAGTCTGTAGTTGTGAAAGTATTGCTCATTGGTGGACCTGGCTCAATTTTTTACATTCACTCGGAAATGAATGCAATAACATGGGGTCAATTCAGCTGATCAGAATGCAGGAATTACATTAAACACAACAAAACCTTACTTATATATAATATTTACACACCTTTAAAATTATTTCCAAGCAGAATATCATTCAAATCAACTCGTGAGGAAATGATTATTTGTGCCATGTTAAGGTGTGTAAACCATCACATGTACTCATTTCTGTCAGGAAAATTGCTGAGCACAATTCTACTCTCAATGGACATGAAGCAAAAATTTCAAAGAGCTCTAAATCAGCTTAATTTGGCCAGCAACTCCAGCATCTTTAAAAAGAAATCCTCCCTAAGGCAATGCATTTTGCATGACCCAGATGCCCTTGCTGCTAGCATTAACACGCACACACACCGCAAAACATGGCAAAGGATCAACTATCACCTACATTTGGATGAAAGTGTTTCAGGAGTTTTATTTTAATTAACAACTGTCACCATCTGACAATGTCTCTGGGGAGTACAACAACTTATCTCACAGAAAATTTCACTTCAAACATGTTTCATAGAGTCAATAACTTCCACAAAAACAGGCAAAATATCACAGTAGTTGACAAGCTCTCAAATGGCAGGCCAAGCTACAAGGAATTAATTAATCAAATTGCATTTCATCTTGCAGTGCCCAAGAAATTTCCTGTTGATTTTTTAGATAGCACACCAACTAAAATCTCATCAAACAGTTTCTTCACTCTGCTGTGAGGGAGACATTTCACATGCCTTTTATCATTAGCTTAGCAGCCACTTACATTATTACTCAGCAAGGCACCAATGACAGGGCTACAGCCAAATAGGACTCTGCACACCTTTGGCTTGACTATCTACTGCTTGATGCTGTGCACTGTCTGCAGTTGGGTGACAAGTACACCTACCTTCTCAGCAGCTTGATGTACTGTACACCTGTCCAACTGTCTGCAGTTGGGTGACAAGTACACCTACATCATACACAGCTTGATGTACTGTACACCTGTTCAACTGTCTGCTGTTTGGTGACAAGTACACCTACATCATACACAGTTTGACGAACTGTACACCTGTTCAACTGTCTGCAGTTTGGTGACAAGTACATCTACATCATACACAGTTTGATGAACTGTACACCTGCTCAACTGTCTGCAGTTCAGTGACCAGTACAAACACCGCTTGATGTACCGTACACCAGTCAAACTGTCTGCTGTTTGATGACAAGTACATCAACATTCTCAGCAGTTTGATGTACAGTACACCTGTCCAACTGTCTGGTGTTTGATGACAAGTACATCAACATTCTCAGCAGCTTGATGTACTGTACACCTGTTCAACTGTCTGCAGTTTGGTGACAAGTACACCTACATCATACACAGCTTCATGTACTGTACACCTCTCCAACTGTCTGCAGTTTGATGACAAGTACATCGACATTTTCAGCAGCTTGATGTACTGTACACTAGTGGCGTTCTGATTAATTGAATAATCGAAGGTTGGTCGCAGTGACCAAATGACCAAGCAATCGATCAAATTTTCTCATAATCAAACACAAAAGTTTTTGTCATTACTGTTTTATTGTTTGAAACACTTGACAATGGAACATATCTTAGAAATTGTCAGAGCCTGAAACGTGTATTTCTTAGAAAACTCACTTCACTTACTGAAAAGTCATGACTGAATATTTCTTGAAGACTCCAGGAAGTATATGTTCATGATATATTAGTTATCACTTTCTAAAGTAGCAAGTTGTATCATTTTAAATTGGATGTAAAGTTTACAAATGCAATTTCTATGCAGTTTCTCAATAAAACAAAAACAACAGAGAACCACGTGTATACTTATCTGCAATAACAACCTGAATAGGAAAATCTTGAAAAATTATGCTAACCATTTTCTTTTCGATGATTGCTCGTTGGTAATGAACCAATCATCAATTGTGAGATTTCAACTAACTCCCAACACTACTGTACACCTGTCCAACTGTATGCAGTTCAGTGACAAGAACACCAACATCATACACAGCTTGATGTACTGTACACCTGTCCGCTGTTTGGTTACAAGAACACCAACATCATACAGAGATTGATGTACTGTACACCTGTCCAGCTGTCTGCTGTTTGGTGACAAGAACACCAACATCATACACAGCTGGATGTACTGTACATCTGTCCGCTGCTGTTTGGTTACAAGAACACCAACATCATACACAGCTGGATGTACTGTACATCTGTCCGCTGTTTGGTGACAAGAACACCAACATCATACACAGCTTGATGTATTGTACACCTGTCCGCTGTTTGGTGACAAGAACACCAACATCATACACAGCTTGATGTACTGTACATCTGTCCAACTGTCTTCTGTTTGGTGACAAGAACACCAACATCATACACAGCTTGATGTACTGTACACCTGTCCGCTGTTTGGTGACAAGAACACCAACATCATACACAGTCTTGATGTACTGTACTCCTACACAAGTGCCTGCACCCCATTGTAGTCTGATTTTATCATCCCACCCAAACTGCAGTAGCAAATAATTCATGAATGACTGAATGACACATTTGTGGCATCCATCTTTTTACGCCTTGTTGTAGGCAATAAAAGAATTCCATTTAATGTTATACAGCATTCTATGTGGGTATGCTGAAAAGTACCAAGCTTTAAAGTACAAAGGATGCACAGTATAAAGTATTCATAAGAATACTTCCCATGCT